ATGATTTGCTCATTTATTTATTTAGTCATCTTCTTACACTCTCTCAGCCCCATGACAGGAAGAAACTTGTCCATTTTGCTAATCCCCGTGTCTTCAGCACTTCGTGCCATACCTAGCTTTGAAGAAACTAATGAAGGAATGAATGAAAACAGCTCACAGTCACCAAGCCCTTATCATGGGCCAGGTACTGCTGCCTCTGTGAAAACTGTCTTGGTTGAGTATTCTTCCACCTGAGATAAACCTCATGAAGTGGATGTCTTGATTAGTCTCCTTTTATAAAGAAAACTAAAGCACAAAGTGATTGAATAAATTTGCCCCAAATCTATGAGCCAGTAATACTAGAGCAAGGATGGAGCCCCAGGGCAGTCCTGCTCCAGATCCCACAGGCTTGGCTATTGTGTGCCCTGTGTCATCGGGACCTACAGCCTGATTTCTAGGAAACTCTAATTGTATGATATTAAGTCAGGGCAAGTAAGGACCAAAGGGCAGCCCTTTGACCCAGGCACCCTTCCTAAACCTTTGCTTTCCACCGTGTGCCTACTCACCTGCTTCACTATGCCACTGTATGCGTTCTCATTTCTCTCATCAGTGCGTAGCCATTTGCAGGCTATTTACACACTCTGAGTGGAGACCCTGACATCTCCAATACCAATTTGTGCCCACCTTCAGCCCATGCATGGGTCATTGCCTGCAAATATAGATGCTAAACACTTGGTGAAAGGATTTCCAAATAAATAAAACATTTTGAAATGCTTTTCAAGAGAACACAACAAAGCTGTTTAATAAAAGAGAGCTATTAAGTGCAAAAAATGCTTACAGAGCAAGCACAAATCAATATAAGTGTTCTTTGCCTTAATAAACCCAGAGCTTCATGCATTCCCACCCCTGGGCCTTTGCACATGTTGTTTCCTTTATTGAAATGCCTTCTCCTCCCACATGTTTTCCCTGTTTGGCTGTTATTGGTTGTTTTTTACTCTTTGGCTCTTTTATTCTTAGCTCTTTGGGGGGGGGGGCACCACCCAGCTCCAAAATAAATCACACACACAGAGTCTTATTCTTTCTTATAAATGCCTGGCCTTAGCTTGGCTTATTTCTAGCCAGCTTTTCTTAACTTAAATTATCCCATCTACCTTCTGCCTCTGGGCTTTTATCTTTCTCCATTTCTGTATACCTTTCTTTACTTCTTTCTCTGTGGCTTGCTGTGTAGCTGGGTGACTGTCCCCTGATGTCCTCCCCCTTTTCTTGCTCCTTGATCTTTCCTCCCAGATTTCTCCTTCTATTTATTCTCTCTGCCTACCAGCCCCACATATCCTTTCTCCTGCCTCACTACTGGCCATTCATCTCTTTATTAGACCAATCAGGTGTTTTAGACAGGCCAAGTAACACAGTTAAACAAATGCAACATAAAAGAATGCAACACATCTTTGCATCATTGAGCAAATGTTCCACAGCATAAACAAATGTAGCATGTCTTAAAATAATATTCTACAACATTTAGCTCCTTATTTGTCCCTTGATCTCAGCTTGAACATCACCCCCTCAGAAACGTGTTTTCTGGTCTCTGCTCCCGGCCTACTCCTTCCTATCACACTTCCTATCATACATATTGATCAGAAAGCAACAGAATTTGTGCAGCTCTTTGGTGAATGTTTTTCTCTCCTTATAAATTCCAAGATAGATTAAAGCAAAATAGACAACATTTTTTTCATTTACCAGCTCTTCCCTATACACAACTCATGGGTTCTTAAAAACATACTGGGTGCATTAACTTTTGGGATATCAGGTCTATAAATACAAACCATTTTATTTTAAAGGTGGTATTTTCTGAGGTGGGGTCTTTACAGAGTACACACTCACAATTGTTCTTTATCAGGTACAACAAGGGGGTCCCCACCCCATTGGAATAAATATTATTAAATGATAATCTACAGCATGAACCTTGGTCCTGGGCTAGAAGCCTGGCTAAAAACCAGCACTCTGTTGTTTCTGAGTTCCTTGGAGAAGAGCAAAAATGACACAGACTTAAACGGAGTAATAGTCTGCCCTACCAGCTACTGAGAGGGCATGGAACAGCTGAGCTGGCATTTACACATTCAGCTGTTGGGAGTGTAAATTAGTAAAACCACTTTATAATTAGTTCTCGATTTCTAATACAGAAGATGCACACTGGAGGCTCGTGTGTTCCAACACTTGGTCCACAGCCAGTCTGCGGCATGGAAGGTTGGGAAATCTTTAGGACACAGAGCCTTGCTACAGGAAGTGAGTCCCTCGGGGCAGGCCTCAATGCTTGGCAGCCAGGCTTTCCATCAATCACTTCTCTGCTTCCTGACTATAGACACATGTGAGCTGCCGCCTCATGCTCTCACTGCTGTGCCTTAAACTGTGAGCTAAAATAAACCACTCCTCGGTTAAGTGGCTTCTTGCTGGGTGTCTGATCACTGCAAGCAGAAGAATAACCACAACTACACATTCTAAAACATAAACACACTTCTGTGTGCGCTACCCAGAAAACTCTCATATGGACATGCTTCTCAGTGAGAGTCATACTGAGACATGAACTAGCACACTCATAATGGAAAAATCCTGGAATAAATTAAAAAATGCCTTGGGGGTTGAAATACAAAACTATATGTAATATGTACATAAATTATATGTCTTAGTGAGGGTTTCTATTGCTGTGAAGAGACACCATGACAGGGTGGCGTGCTGGCTGCATCTTGATCAGAAGGCAACAGAAAGTGGACTGGGGGCACACTTCCTGTTCTATTTTTGAAAAACTCTTAAGAAGCTTGAGCAAAAGAGACCTCAAAGCCCTCTCCCACAGTGACACACTTCCCCCAACAAGGCCACACCCACTCTAACAAAGCCACACCTCCTAATAGTGCCACTCCCTTTAGGGGCCATTTTCTTTCAAACCACCATATTGTACTAAGTTGTTACAACGCTATGTAGTTGCTCACATGAATAAATTAGAAGTCAGGGTATTGCCATAGCTAGGTCTCAAAAACGTACTGCTGAACACCAAGAAGAGAGAATGGGATGGACTAGGATAATGACAGTATGGAAGAGAAACAGCAGGCAAACATCACCCTGAGCACAGACTCTGGTTCCCCTAGAGAGAAGGGAGGGAAAACAATGACATTGGCGCTCTCTCAAGACAGGCTTCACCCCTACCCACAGTGTCATTCCTCTCTTACAGAGGAAAGAACCAAAGAAGAACATGTTCAAAGTCCTTCAGTTTTAGGACAAGTGCACCAGGCTCTGGGTGTGCGCTCCTTGTAAGAGGGTTCTATATGTGAACTACATCATGCTTTGCCTTGTGTTTGGGTTCAGGGTCTTGCTGTGCAGTCCTGGCTGGACCTCAGTTCTCTTGCTTTAGCCTCTCACATGCTAGGGTTATAGGCATACACCACCATGTCAGTCTCAGGTAATGTTTTAAATGGCTACTGAGAAGTAAGTGGGGTGAAGAAAGGGAGCACGTAGAGGAGGGAGAGGAAGGGGGGATAGGAAGGAAGGGAGGAGGAGCGGGAAGAGAGGGAGAGAGATCAGACTCTGGCTCTGTTCCTGGACCTCAGACAAAGGACATAAGCTCTCTGAGACCCTCATTTGCAGAGCAGGATTGACAGTGTCCAAAGTGGATTGTAAGAATAAATGAGAATCCGTTTTATCTAAATAACTTTCAGATATCATCCACTGGGTTATTGCTTTTGAATTATTCCCTAATGCCTTTCTAAATGCATCAGGGAGATTCACGTTTATAAAGCTGATCAGTGTGTGTGTGTGTGTGTGTGTGTGTGTGTGTGTGTGTGTGTGTGTGTGTGTTTTAAATACTCATCTATCCCTGGGAACAAGAATATTTTGCTATTACTTGTACAAAAAACACATACATGTGTGATAAATGAGTGTATATAGATATCAATTATTTATTGGCTATGATTATCCTGAGGGAAAAGAAATGGGATGATTAGAGAACAGAAATAGAAGAGAAATTTCTGTTTCTTTTGGGATTGTTTTTAAGTATGCACAATGTATGCTGAACGCTTGCTCCAAAAACCAATGCAATTCATTTTAAAATTAATGTGCAGGTCTCTTAAATGCACTTCAAAGTGGTCCTAGAATATAAGTTCCATAGAGGTTCTTAAGAAGTCATGCTGCTGAAGATGTAGCAAAGTGGCAGGGCATTTGTAAACATGTAAAAACCCTGAGTTCTGTACCCAACACCACAAGGAAGGTGTGCAGTTTAAGTACCTTAGAGGCCAAGGCCTCCTAGCCCCGTTGCATCACTCACTTGTCTTGCTGCTGTGACAAATTGCAACTGAAGAAAGGAAGAGTTTGTTTTTGGTTCACACTTTCAGGGTACAACCTGTCATGGACGGACAGTCATGGCATTGGGAGCAAGAGGTGGCTGGTTGCATCACGTCCAACTGTTGGAAAACAGAGAGAGATAAATGCCTATGGTTAGCTGGCTTTATCCTTTGTATTTGGTCCAGGACTCCAATCCAAGGACAATGCCACCCCCTTTTAGGGTGGGCCTTCCCATCTCAATTAACCCAATCAAGAGCTTCTTCACAAACATGCCTGGAGGCTCATCTTCTGGACGATTCTAGATGCTGCCAAGTCGGTGATCAGCATTAACCACCACACCCATATTTCCGAACAGTCAGTCAGACAGACTAATTTAGAATGGAGGATTTGGTCCAGGGATACAACACTGAGTCTCCTGAGCACTCAGGGATCCAGTTTCACATCTGTAGTTGGATAATGTTAGCATCATTTCTCAGTTACATGAGGCACAAATAAACTATAACATGAGTATATATTCACATTGTATCAAGCTGTTCGTTTGAGGTGTGATTTGTGGTGCCGAGTGTCCCACAGAAATACTCATTTGATCCTTTGACACGTGTTAGAGCCCCCTGGAAAGCTCAAGCCCGGGGCCCCACCAGTAGCCAACAGTGATCTTTGCCTTGGGAATAACCTTGGTTATCTTATCTCCACAGCGAATATCCTGACAGTCATCATCCTCTCTCAACTAGTAGCCAGGAGGCAGAAGTCTTCCTACAACTATCTCCTGGCACTTGCTGCTGCTGACATCTTGGTCCTCTTTTTCATCGTTTTTGTGGATTTCCTACTAGAAGATTTTATTTTGAGCGTGCAGATACCTCCAATCCCTGACAAGATTATAGAAGTGCTGGAGTTCTCCTCCATCCACACCTCCATTTGGATCACGGTCCCCTTAACTGTTGACAGGTATATCGCTGTCTGTCACCCACTCAAATATCACACAGTTTCCTACCCAGCCAGGACCAGAAAAGTCATTGTCAGTGTTTACATCACCTGCTTCCTGACCAGCATCCCCTACTACTGGTGGCCTAACATCTGGACTGAAGACTACATCAGCACCTCCATGCATCATGTCCTTGTCTGGATCCACTGCTTCACCGTGTATCTGGTGCCCTGCTCCATCTTCTTCATCTTGAACTCAATCATTGTCTACAAGCTCAGGAGGAAGAGCAATTTCCGCCTCCGTGGCTATTCCACAGGGAAGACCACTGCCATCTTGTTCACCATCACCTCCATCTTTGCCACCCTCTGGGCCCCCCGCATCATCATGATTCTCTACCACCTCTATGGATCACCCATCCAGAACCCTTGGCTGGTCCACATCATGCTGGATGTCGCCAACATGCTGGCCCTTCTGAACACAGCCATCAACTTCTTCCTCTACTGCTTTATCAGCAAGAGGTTCCGTACCATGGCAGCTGCTACACTCAAGGCCTTGTTCAAGTGCCAGAAGCAGCCTGTACAGTTCTACACCAACCATAACTTTTCCATAACAAGTAGTCCCTGGATCTCACCAGCAAACTCACACTGCATCAAGATGCTGGTGTACCAGTACGACAAACATGGAAAGCCTATAAAAGTATCCCCGTGACCCCGTAGGGCTGGCACTTGTGCCTCTGTGTAATCTGTTTCCAGATGAGAGGGTGTCCCATGCTCTGGTTGAACAGCTCTCCTTAAGAGTGCTAACCTGATTTCCTCTCTCCACAGACTGAGCAGCTCTCAGACTGGCAGATGAGAAGAAAGGGAAGAGAAGAAAGGAAAGAATGATTCTTGTTTTTCTTTGTGCACTTGTTTTCACAAAAATCATCCTGGCAGCCACAGTTCCTGCTGGCTTAAAGATGTCATTGGCAGTTATAAACGCCACCATACTGTGACCAGTAAAGACCACAGTAGAGAAGTAGTTAGTGCTGGTACCATCTACAGCCACTAGGAACCAACCACTAGAATGTGTGGTCCACCAAGTCACCATAGTGTGTAGCTGAGCCACACTCTTCTTCCAATGAGTGGAGGTCATCCATCATTTCCCTGTACCATTTCCAGCAGCTAACAGGGCTGACTGATTTGGGAATTTTTTTTCCCAAGATACCCTTTGTCCTTGAAAGAGCTGTGGTTTCCAGGTGGTCCTAGCAATTCTGGCTGCAGAATGACAGCATGAGGAAAGGGAAGTGTCAAATACCATGCAAACTGTTGCTGAAATATCAATGGGGAGATTCCCAACAAACATGACCATGTCCTTAGACCTGGGGTCTAAGGTGCAGTTTTCTATTTGCCATAATGTACAGATTTGATGTCTCCTCCAAAACAAAGACCCTACCTGGTGTGTAGGGGAAAGGAGGAATTCTTGAGCCCAGAAAAACAAAAAATCAAGCCCACTCTTGCCACTGTTTCAGTTCATCCCTCTGTGAGCTGTATCCGTTCCTTGCATTCAAAATCCCTTCCTGCTGTGGCACTGCATACTCTTCCCAGAAACGCCTTCTGTGTCAAGTTGTGAGCCCTGCATCCTTGCTTGCTCAAGCCCTCGTCAAATGCTTTCCATGAAGTGACCTCTTAACCGGAGATAACTGCAGCTCTTCTGGTGAGAAGGGATGCCCAGCTCCCACCACAGCCCAGCTGGCATGGCCATATAAGACTCTAAAAACAGTCATAACTGTCATGGAGGGGTAGTTGTGTCAACCACTGGTCTGTCCCTTGATCTAAGTGGCTCAGTCAGGTGGTGCCTGACTTTATCAGTAAAGCTCTTTAACTCACATGCTTCAGAGGTGACAAAACTTATTCATTATTCTTCCCTTGCATGGTCAAGGTAAGAACAAATCTAAGATGCAGTGATTAGAGGCTTCTCTGAGAATTACCACATGTATGTGTAGACATAGAATACACACATGTAGACATGACTATATTAAACTGGGCCTGTGGTGTGCTTTAAAGAGGATATACACGCTAGAGTCCCTATTATTTTGCATTTTTATTTGTGCTCCTCTTCCACATTCCCAGTATTTGAACCCATTCCTGGTTTGGAAGAAACCTTCCAAAATGATTTTTAAAATTGCATGATATTTTTGGTGAGCAAACTAAACGTAGTCACCTGGAACACTTGGTTCCATAGACTTGATTTTTATTGCATTTCCTCCCTAAATTGGAAGGCATGTCTCTGTTGTCTTAGGAGGTTCTGTAGCAAAGGAATGGGATGGAAAGGCCCCTGGGATAACACAAGTGCTAAACCTCCATCAAGGCCCTTCAAGACTAACCCAGTGCAGTTTGGGGTTGTTTTGTTCCTAATGGTGTCCGTTCTTATCCCTTTTAAATGACTTATGGGTGAGTCTCACCAGACCCAATGGTTAGATTCTAAAGTCAGTGAAAAGAGAATGACCTTACAGGCCTGTGGTTCCTGTGCATAGTTCCTCAGGAAAGAGGACCTTTGGATACCCAAGAAGTTACATTTTTCTCCAGTGTTGGGACAGGCTGCAGATACTTTGGCTGAAGATAATAGAGTCAGCTGATGTCTAGGGAATGTATTGTATTATTGTCATGTGTCTGAGAACGTCAGGACCCGGATGGAGCAAGCCACTACCACTGAACAGTTTGCAGAAGTTATTCATGTGAGGGATGAGCAGAATCCCAGCTTCTATCTCACTTGCTTTCCAGAGCAGATGCTCAATGAGTGAAATGTGAGCAAAATTCCCCACATCTCTTGAATTGTATTTCTTTCTTCTCCCCCCCAAGCATGTACAAGTGAATGTATGTTCATTAGCTGTGTGTATGACACAATTCCACTGCATCCCCTATAAGTAAACGTTGACCAAAGGCTACCTATGCTGAATAGATATTATATATGTGTGTTTATTTATTTTTTAAAATGCATATCTCTGAAAATGTTAGTTTGAGCTAGCTATACATAAGCGATTCAAAGTGCAATATCTATGAAGGTTAAGCAATTCCTTTTTGAGGATGTACACACAATGGAGAGTAAGACTTTGACTCTCAATGCTGTCTGCTCTATGTTTTTAATCTCTAAAACAATTAATTATTTAAAAGCTGGGTGTACCCTGGGAATGATTTCCCCAGACACTCATTTATTACTTTTCTTAACAGTAGAGGTTCTACAAGCATCCTCTGTTTTCTGACTACATTTCCTATTTCTCTAAGTAACCCTTTAAGCTAGTCCATGAAAGCACTCCAGAGAGTTGTTACATATTCTCTCTAAAGTGCACATGGATACCCTTTGGATTAGGCTGACATAAACAAATATAAATATATATAATCAGCCTAACTCAGAAGGTATATACATACATATATCACCTGAAGTTTATTTAAGATTACAGAAGGAATATTCACTTATTGTTGATAATAATAACAATGGATGATGATCAAGTTTTTTTAACTTTAAAAATTGTAAGCCTTTTCATTCAGGCCGGGTTTGGAAATGAAGCCTTGACTACTGAAGCCTGTCACATAAACAGCTGCTGCTAAGGGCAAACACCTTAGCCTGGGTTTTTGTGGTGCTTCTTTCAAAGACTGTTCATTATCACCTCCATTGCTGTATGATTTGTGTCCTTGGACATGGTGACAATGTCATACATGTACATGCCAAGTCTTTTTCTTAGCGACTGGAAGCCTGGGGAAATAAATGAGGGGTACAGCAGACAAACTATAAAAGATAAGCCATGTGAAGGCATGAACATCCATGTTCCAAACACCTTGCCACAGAAAAGGGTTATGTTGCACAGCTGCTGCCTACTTGTCTGACTTGGGGAGCCCTTTGAAAGTGCATTCAGGACTCGACTCACTACTGACCACTACTGCTTGAAAATGCAACAAGAGGCCACCACCGAAAAATAGGAAATGCTCATATTTTCTTAACTAGATAAAATATTGTGTCTGGACTAGTTTGTATTCTAATAAATTCTAATATGGTGCGCACTTGGTGTTTGCTATTTGCATACATGGTCACTCAACTGCAGAACGCTGGTTTTTATTCACATTATTTTTAATTGATAAATCATAATTGTATACATTTATGGGGTGCAATGTGATGTTTTGATATATGTATTAAATGTGCAATGATTAAATCAAGCAAAGTAATATGTTGCCTCACTTATATATTTGTGTTGACACATTAGAAACTTACTTTTGTGTCCATTTTGAAGTTTACAATGTATTATTTTGATTAGAGAACTTCTTCTGTGGAACATTCCTTTGTCTAATAGAATCTTTGTACCCTTTGACCAACAACTCCCCATTCCTTTGCTCCCATTTTCCCAACCTTCTGGTAACCATTCCATTCTCTGTTTTTATGGGCTCAATGGTTTTTTTGTTTGTTTTTGCATGTTTGGGGTTTTGTTGTTGTTATTTCTACACAAAATTGATATCATATGATGTTTGTCTGTTTGGAGCTGAGTTATTTCATTTAGTATAATGTTGTCCAAATACCAAAATACTGGTGAATGTTTTTAAATATTTTTAAATTAACATTTTACTTATATGTTGTGTTAAATGTTAGCATAATAATAGAATCCTAGGCTGGAAAGACAAAAACAAACAGACAAACAAGAAACACTAGAGTCCCACCTGTTTCTTTGTTGGTCATATGGATTTCAAAAGGTTAGACCACAAAGTTCTGCTTCCTGGAATTCTACATCACTCATTACTTGATATACATCTGGATTCTCTTGTGATTGCACCCTCTGTAGTTGTTGAGGCAACAAAGACTGTAATTATAAATAGAATTAGCACATGGCAAAATGCTCAGACTTCCATGTCAGGCAATTGTGGATTCATGTCCCAGCTGTGCGATGGACCAGATATATGCCCTTCAGCAGGTCCTTCAAGACTATAACCTGAAGGATTGTCCTTAGCTGGAACATGCTACAAATTGTAATATTTTCCATTTGTCTGCAAGGCATTTAGATGTTCTCATGGTGAGACATCTACAATTTGGAGTGGAGCACTGTGGGTGGGCTATGGAACACACCCTGGGCAGTGTTCTTAATCTCTCTGAGTCTTGGTTTCTTCTTCACAATGGGAGCTGATCACCTTTCCAGTAAGTACCTTAGTCAGTGCTTATCAGTATCAGAATTTTTACAGCTTCCCTTGAACAACACTTTACAGGTAAGGTTGCTAAACCCAAAGAAGTGAAAGGACACATTCAGAATGAAGCCCAGGTCACTCAGTATGTTACCCTTTCCACTGTATCTCACTGGACCATCTGAGTCATCCTCCAAAAGGTCACATTATTTTCATGCCCCTTTTTTTTAGAGTTGGGAATATCACCTAGTTCTGCAGCTCTTCAAGTGCAGGTCACCCAAGCAAGAGATATATTATAACTATATCATAATTAAAATACACAGCTTGACATTTCTCTCTAAGGTGGAACTCTTCCTTAAATCGATTGTATCAGCTCTCAAACTCTCTATGCATTTTCCCACACAAACCACCATCAGTTCTGACAGCCACCCACAAACTATTGTCACAATCCATCTTTGCATCAACTTAGAGACTGAAAGTGACGTATAAGCTGAGGAGAGGTACAGAACAGCATAAAAATTGTCGAAAGGGTCACAGGATCTCTTAGCCATGCCGCAGTATCCTCATAAATTTTTCTCACCAGCTCAGAAAGGCAGGATAAAAGAGAGCCGATGGAGGCTGAACTGTTAGATAATGATCCTTTTATTAATACATTCTCCTAAATGATGGCTCAGCCTCTTTGGAGGGTGAGCAATTAATCCAAATACTTGCCAGACACAACAAGAGGAATGAGAGGCTTGTGTCTACCAGGATAAATAGATACTGTGAATATCCTGGGTTTGTTGGGAGAATGTGTTACTGTGATGCCCAAAAAGGAAAGAAAAGAGTTTCCTGATTTAAAAAGAGCAAATAAGGCTACAGGGAGGGGGAGACCTTGTCATGAACTCTCTGCACAGGGTATTACCCTGTACATGAGCTCTGTTACCTACAGAATGAAGGTGACACAGTATTTCTTTCCAAGTGAGATGTAACCAGAGGAATTGAGTTAAAACTGCAGCAGGAAGTATTTGTACTAAATCCAAAGAAGAAACCTGCATAAAGGTGTCTATTAACTCCACAAATGAGAGTCAATGGCAGCTCTCAGAGTCTGCTTCTCTGCACCACAGAGACCCAAACTCAGGGGTTTCAATGTAAAGACTTTACTCAGGAGACTCTTCATGATGACCTGAGCAAGACTGAAGAACCAGTAAGCACTTTTGGGACACCTGGGAAATGACGGGGAAGGCCTGCCCTCCTCTGCTGTGACATTGGAGGAAAGAATGAAATTGCAGCTGAATGTGAGCTGGCATCTTGGAAGAGGGCCTTTCCAGAAAGGGGCTCTTCCATACTGTTGTCAGACTTGGGATGCCAGAAAGGAAAGCAGAGTCATGTTCCCTAGCTATCCTTTCCTTTCTTCTGATGTCTACATAGATGCCTCCCACTGCTGACACTCAAACAGAAGTCCATGAGGGAGGGAGAGCAGGCGGTTCATTTACAGTGAGCAGACCCCCATGCAGCAAGTGAAGAATAGGTCAAGAACAGAGTGAGACAGGAAGCAGCTGCAGAATAAACAAGGAAATTTGGAGCTTTATTTTTACTATCATTGAGTTCTTCAAGAAACAGTGAGGCTCTTGAGATGGTATCATCCAAAGATCCAAAAAGAAAGCTAAGACCCAAGAAATCTCCCCTTACTCAAGAGCATAGAATCTATGTGTTAGTAAACACGACTGCAGTAATCTTTCTGCACACTTTACAAAAAGCACAAAATACATCATATACTTTCAAAGCTTTAAACTCTCATAATCATAAATTTCTCATATCAATCCTCAGAACTTCCAGTGTCCAGACTATCGACTTAAATATGTCTAAGATTAGAGAGCAATCATTCATTGATAAACCACTGGGCCGTGGGCATTCCTTTAGTCATTTATTTATTTGACTGATGCTTGTTAAAATATGCCATGTGCCAAAATCTATTCTAGTCAGTAATTTGTTAGTGAACAAGACATATAGGCCTCTATGGAAGGTGTTCTCCATGGGTGGTACTGGAGAACACAAGCTAGATTAAAGCAGACAGTGATGGGCGCTGAGACAGACAGAAGTAAGCAGCCCAGATCAGACAGAAACAACATTAGATAACTCATTCATGTAAGCTCTGTTTCAGAAGATGGCCAAAGAACTGGCACCCAGATAAAAAAGAAAAGAGCCACAGCAAGGAGACCAGCAAAGGGAGAGGCCTTGGAATGGCCTTGAGTGCCAGTGGGAGGCCAGAAGACTAGAACTGCTGACGCATTGTGATCCAGCAAAGAGATATTATGAAATAAGGCAGAGCAAGGTGGCAAGAGTCAAATCATACAGAGCTTTATGCCCTGGTCAAGATCTTGAAGGGAAACCACTGGGCATCTTAGCAAGGGATTGGTGTGGTCACCTCACCTCTGTCCTTATGAGTCTCAAAGGAGAATGCACTCATCTCCATTTTTCAAGTGAAAAAAAAAACCTCATCTCCATTTTTCAAGTGGAAAAAAAAACCAAGTCTCATGGAAATTAATTAAATTTACTCAAAATAACAATGAGTAACTCATGATTTGGTATTTAAGTCCAGGCCTGCCTGCTTCCAAGAGCCCCTTCAGCAGGCCACCTTGACATGTTGTCATTGACATCCCACGTTCTTGGTCTTGAATTAGCAATTTGGTCCCATTAGCCTTTTCCTCATCCAAACTTGATATTTAGGCTACAGTCATCCTCAAATCCCATTAATGAGGAGCCAGAAATCATCCAGGCATAATACCCTGTGGTTCCTCTTCATGACCTAATTTGTGTGTTTGATGAAATCTGGCAGAGCTGAATCTCAGTACTACAAATAAGATAGTAACAAAAATGAGAAAGACAAAAATGAGTATAAACTTTTACATTTTCCCTGAATCATCCTCAGGAGGAAAATTTTTGATGCCATTGTTTTACAAAGGCTTCCACACACAGATTTTACCAGTTGGCCTTTCCACTTTAAGACTAGCAAATGTGTCCCTGTCCGAGGTCCTGAAAATGTCCATGACAGATCAAGTGTCTGAGAAAATTCTAGATATGAAAATAAAAAGTTGTCCTCCCTCTCCCCATTTAAAAAAAACAAAGACCTGGAATATCATCATCTGTGGTGTGTGTGTGTGTGTGTGTGTGTGTGTGTGTGTGTGTGTGTGTGTGTGTGTGTGTGTGTATACATACCTGAGTACATCAAGATCTGAGGTCAACCATGCCTGTCATTTTTAGGAGCTGTCCACCTTATATTTTGAGACAGGGTCTCTCACATTGGGTCTTGACTGACTTTACTAGGCTGAGCAGCTAGCGAGCCTCTGTGATCCTGCTGGCCCCAGCTCCCCAGCATTGGGATTGCAAGTGCAAGCCACTGTGCCTGGCTTCTTCATGGCTGCTGGAGTTTGAATGTCTGTCCTCATACTTGCACGATGCTCTTTCAACTGAGCTGTCTATACAGATTCAATTGTGACTGATTTTGTCAGAAGGTTTAAGATGTAGTTTCTCACAAATCCATTTCCACTAAGACTTTGCACCTGTCCGCAACATCTCCATCACTAAGAAATGTGGGACACTGACCACAGACCCAAAACCAAGCAATGAAACATCTGGATTTTAACAGCAACCCCCCAGTGTAATTCCTACATGTGTTAAAGCTGCAGTGGCCTTTAACACTCTTGGAGAGCTTTGCAGAATCCTAATTCCAGAATGAACTACAGAGATCAACATTCTTTGAAACTCTTCAGATGGTTTCACTTTAAACAAGATGATTTCTTCAGGTAAAATGTTATATCCATGGTATGAAAGAAAAGCTTTCATCATCCAGCATAGACAGGGATCATTAAAACAGATTCACAAAGGCTGCCAATAATTCTCAACACATACCCTTGTCTAAACCAGATATCTAATCTCTCTAGTTAAGAAACAAAAGTTGAGAGTTAAAGGCCTGATATCACCATGTTGAAACTTTCCCTTCACCTAGCCATGGCTGATAACAAGCTGTAGGGGAGCTCTTTCGCAATGAGGTTCAGAGTTAGAAAGCC